CCCCAAAACCCCAAAACCCCAAAACCCCATAGGGACTGATGATGAGTTAGTTTGGTAATTCAAAATATTATAATAAATAATATAATATACCCTCTTAATAAAAAGGTCATTAAAGACAAATGAGTGAATCTACATCTAGTATTAGTGCTTCTAGCAATAAAACTCTCATGACTGCAAGTGCTGCAGTACTAGGATTGATTGGGGCATCAACCCTTGCATATTCTCTGGTTCAATCAAGGAGCCAAAAGCGCAAAGCTCAAGAAATTTTCTTATCCAAAAGAGCAGCAAAAAAGAACTCTGTTAACGTTGATGATGACATAGCTCCTCTCCTCAAGAAGTAACCTCGCAGAGTTACCCTATACTTCGACGAAAACGATGAAATGGTCGATGAGAAAACAGCCCAGAATGATCCATACAACTACTATCACAAATATCACGCAGTCCAAGTTGACTTTGGTGGTGATGAGGGATTTGAATTGGCCTCTCACAAAATCACCAAAGATATATTTTGGGGTGAAAAATGTACTGATAATGCCTAAATTTTTATTGAAAACCTTCAAAAAAGTAAAGCAAAACATTAAAAGCAAATGTTCGAGCAAGAGCTCTTCAACCAATCCTTATCAGAATCTGATGACTTGAACATCAAAGGTATCAATGACCTTAAGGATTCCAACCCGGGAGACGCTTCAGTTATCATGGATATTAATCCCAATAAATTTGAAAAACCAAAGGACAACCTCTTCTTTGATTTCTTTTCACTTTACGCTAAAAAATTTATTGATCAAAAATAGTCTAAAGCTCAGAAACAAAACTCTAGCAATGCTATCGCCAACTGAAAGGTAGTTATAAATTTTGACTGAATTGGTAGAACTAAATAAAATCAGCCTAGAGCAGATTAATTATATGAAGAAATAATATAGTCTTTGCAAGGACTTAAAATAATTATTTAACCACTCATTCTATTTCAGTGTAACATCCATCATTTACCGGTAAATCTATACTCTACACAAAACCTCTTTCATCAGATTGTATTTCAATTCACTATCTTTTCATAAGAATAGAGATACATGGGGTTTTGGGGTTTTGGGGTTTTGGGGTTTTGGGG